TCATTTTAAAAGACGAGAAATTCTCTTTAATGTTTAAAGAACATCACAATCTAATTGGGAATTAATACGGCGATTTTTTTATCCCAAATTTAAGCAATTTAAAAAGAAACCTGTGTAGTTTGAAATACACCAAAGTCATTAACACAAATATGCGTGCGTGTGAATTTTATCGATATGGCAAAAAGTTGAATCACACTAAAATCACATACAATAAGAACACGATTTATTTTTTATTTATTTTTTTACACAAAATTCACGCCAAAATGTAGAAAATAAATGTCAAACATAAAAATCAAAGAAAAAAAAATTCTTTGGTGAATTTTGATGGGCGAAAAAACTAATTCATATGCATAAAGGCATAGACTAAAAGATATGATGATTATGCTCGGCGATCGTTAAATTACTACTATGGCCATAGTTATATGTTTTATGTGTTGGGCTTTTGCTTTTTTCTGGTGGCTGATTATTCGATTTATCATCTTACTGTGTGTTCATCATAAAATATGTTTAAATGTCTAGAATTGTAATTGTTTGTGCAAAGCATACGAAATAATGCAGCGCCAGTCATCTAAATCAACATGATGCTTCTCATTCTCAAAAATGTATTTGCGTTTGTTTTCACAGTTAACTTTTCATTTTTTTTGTTCACTTCATTTGTAATTCAAATAAGTATCCTTCCAAGTATCCAAATAAATAAAAAAAGATATTTATGCTGCTGTTCGAACGCATTAAATGATTAAAAACAGACATGAAATAATGGACAACGATGAAGTAATCGTTGTTGCCTCACAATTCCCTTTCATTTTATTACCACTCTTTTTTGCGATGTTTAGAACGATCAAGATGGTTTGAATACAATATGTGCATTAGACACATTTGCCATTGAGAACATCTTTGTTTCTTTTTGCGTCTCAAACGCGCGCGGCTCGATGTCGCTCTCACTCTTTTTGTTGTTGTTGTTGTTGTTGTTGTTGTTGTTGTCGTGCATTGTATTCGGTGCCCGTTTGATTATCTAAGACTAAGTGATAAATATTGATATAGAGGAGTTGAACTGAGAGAATGCGCATAAAACTTTTTAATTCATTTGAATGAATATGTTGGCATTGTCGGCGACAACCAGCAACGGTCACACAGTGATATCACGATGAACGCAGGATCTTGAGATGTGCAAAAGTATAACCGAATAAGTAAACAGGCTGAATCACATACAAACCGGCAGCGGTCGATCGGTCATTATTGATTATAGTCCCCCGTGTGCACGTTTGTATTTGAAATACGCATTGTTTGCACAATTTATATTCATAGGCTCGATAAAAGGTATGTTAAAATTTTGCAAACAATTCATCTTCGATGCATACAACAATAACAACAAAAAATGCACACGATTCAAATACGAGAGATCGAAAGATCTGCGAACTCTTTTTCATGATCTTTTTTGTTGTTGTTTTTGTTGTTGATTAACCACGCCTAGAATCATCGAATAGCGATCGTCGGAATGTGGATCGAAATATATAAAAAGACACACTAAAGAAACGAAAACAAAACAACAAAAATGTTTATCGGTTTTTTGACATGTTCATGGTATTTTCGGCGATTAGTAAACAAAAGACAGTTATTGATACAGATATACAATATTATATTTTATGTGAATTGGAGTGTCTCTCTCTCGTTCGAATATCGAGAACATTGGCAACACAGCGGTGCGTCTTCACCGACTAAGATGTGCTCTGGTCGCATTTATTGTTGGCATTTGAATTTATGGATCAAATAAAACAAAACGATGTAATCGGCAACATCGCGCACACAAGAAATATTTTTATCGACCTCATTTTCTTTTCAATCGGCATTTTCGTCGCTGTCGCTTTCAACGATAATTTTTTTATGCGTCTCAAACCTAACACAAAATAATACCTGTAAAGTTTTTTTTTTCAATTTATTATGGTGGGTCATCTTTAATTAACCATCAATTTCATTTCGAATGCAAATTCAATTTTAAATCTGATTCACTTTTCCATCAACTTAAAACCAGTGACCGGTTCGCGCATATTTCTATGCCTGATAGCTATGCTAAGCATAGCGGAGACGCAAGCCGCAACGCACCCGTCACCATTCGATTCGAGCTATATTGTATGCGCACGGTCGTCTGCATAAACGAACATGTGTATTGTTCATATAGAGTGAACGGCGATGCGTCGGTTGCGTTTGCGGCTATGCTTGGCATATCTATGCTACCTAGCGTATTTAGGCAAGCATAGAAATATGCGCGAACCGGTCACTGCTTAAAACTTAGAACATTGTAAAAATTCTATTTTTTTATGAAGAATTTTCAAGTTTGAGTAATTTATGCGTTTTTTTTTTTTTGCTTACAATTTTAAACATTCCATTTGCAAATTGAAAATGCTTGTTCAGGCAGCTTTGACTAAAGTAATTTTAATAATTGAAGCATTTCTATGCTTCTCCGCTGAGTATTCAGAGAGCAAGAAGACGAATAACACGCACACTATTTCACTTGCAATATGTTTTGTTCATTGTTTTTATTTTGTTTTTGATAAATTTGCTCAAGTAAAGAGAAATAACCATGCGATAACAAATTCACAACGCCGAATCATATTTTATGCCGCATATTTTTCATCTGTCTATGTTTCTGTGAGCTTGTGTGTTTTTTTTTTCATTTTGCGCTGCAAATTTGCACAAAATCTCTTGAATAAAGACCGAAGGCCGCTTTGTACCTAAGCTAAACGATAATTTATGTGAAAATTTTGGTATTACCACTTGAAGAAAAGAGTGAAAAAGAGTCTGTGAAATGAAACTCAAATGATACATATGCAGACGAACGATTGTTCAATAAAGCAGTAAGGTCAACGTATCCGGCAAAGACATATTTTTTAACCAAATGAAGTGAATTGGCGGCATAAACCAAAATGAAAATGCATAAAAATCCAAATGGCAACAGAAAACAAATAGCGTTTCAATGTAAAGCGAAGCGATTTTTAATGCTCAAATGAATTTTAAATACTGAAAAGAACAAAACAGACAAACATATTTGTATAGCAGTTGTTTAGTCTCATTCGTCTCGTTTTCGCGTTCTACACACTCGTTTAGTCTCCCGGCATATTTGATTATGGCTCAAATTTATTGCATATGAACAGTATTTAAGAAAACAGACATTGTTTGCGCGCACCGATTGTGCATAAAGTGCGCAAAGCTAGGATACGCGAGGATGAGACCATTAAATGTGCTAAACATTGGCGATGATATATTCGAATTGAGAGAAAGAGGAAGAGAGAGAGAGAGAGATATGAAAATGTATGCGGCAAATGGATATTTCGAAATGTATACCCGTATCGTCAGTAAATAGTTTGAGCATTTATGTTGCGCACGGATACTCAAAGTCTTAAAGTTCATTGAAAAACGGTGTTAGCCACTGAAACAAACGAAAAATCACAACAACAAACGCACAAGCGTAATACGAACACATTCGATAAACAAAGCACACCGGTAATTGGAATGCAGTTCAAAAAATTACGAGAATATTTCTATTTTTACGTTTCTACTATGGAAGATCGAGATGAGAGAGCGAACAAAAAACAGCTCATGTCGTGATGCGAATGGCATCAAAGACGCGCAAATTAAGTCACTACAACAATTGCATGGTTATTAGATGGAAGTGATAAGATGAGAAAATGTGATCGTTTCAATATTGAAAATTTGTTTTCGTCGTCGGTGTCGTCGTTATCGTCGTCATCGGTCAATATCAGTTTCAGATAGATGGACAATGTCGATTGAGTTGAGTGCGTGCGCGTGCGTCTGTGGACGCGAGACGTGCACAATTTATGTTTTACTTTTTTGCTTCCGTTTCAATTCGTACGCAGCATGAATGTAGATTGAGGTAATTTTACTCACACACGACACAAACAGTGTAAAAATGGAAACACACAGCCGACTGAACTTCTGCGATTGGTGCGACGAATAGAAATTAACACAGCTGAAAAATATCTACAACATTAATAATGAATCGACGATCGGGACAACGACGACTTGTATCAGTATGGAAAATGTGCGAGAAAATTATGTATTTTTTTTTTCTTATTTTCCCTTTTGGTCATTGATTGAATGATTTTGTGTGGTTGTTGCACGTATATGATATCAAATCGTTTCAATCTGTTGAAATTACGAACATTATGAACGGTAAGTGTTAAGATAACGTCTTGAAAGATAAATCGTTCATTAAGTTTGAAACGTCATGTTGAAATAAATGCAACCAAATCAAGAGAACCATTGAAATGACCATATTGGAATAAAGCCTTCCAACAACAAATTGAGACAGCAAACCACCAACACTGCCACCACCACTATCACAAACATCAATGCGTAACCCTTTACCATAAAAAAATCGGAATCAAAAATCAATACCAAGACTCTGCTCGATCATTATGATCGTGAGCAAATTTGAACTTGTCGAATAAGAATCCCATTGAAATGCAGTAACATAGGGAAAGAGATATGCGCGCGGTTAGAGGTGCCGTTGCGCGCATCCAATGGCATAGCAGCGCGTTAAGCCAACAGAAAGCAGACAAACAAATACGCCGAGAGAGATGCACGATGTACACACAAACTGCGAACTAAACATGCCGAAGCGACGCAACTCAAAAAGCGATTTGAACATGCAGCCAAGAAACGAAGAAAAAGTAAGCAACGATGAAAGAATAGAAAGAGAAACAGCGTGCGAAACGAAAAAAGAAAAAACAACAAACATACAGAATAATAATAATCGAAAAAGAAACACAAACATATAGCCACTAAGCATGGAGAGACGGACGACTCTCAAGCGGATCATCATTGCTAACAAACAACAGAAGAAAAGAAGCGAAAAAAACCTCGACCAAGACGAAGAAATGGTTCTCCGGCGCATAAACTAGCGGCTGAAGAAGAAAAATGTGCTGTTAACGTATAATACGAATAGCTTGTTATGTTTTGATTCAGTTGAAATTTGACCAGCAAGTAGTTGACATACTACGATTATTCGCTTAGCTCTTCATGGTGAAATAATATCAAGAACGAAAAAAAAGAAGATTTTTCTTTAAATAATCAAAATCAACGAACCGTTTTTTTCTTCAACTTTTTCAAGAGTTTGTCTCTTGCCTAGTGGACACTATTTCTGTGTACATTTTGTGATTTCGCTTTTTTATCATATCGACTGGTTAGTTTTAATCTAATTATTATTAAATTATTATTCCTCTTTTATTCTCGATTTCGTTTAAGTTTTTATATGTACAATTTAAAATTCTAAATGCAATTTCTTGGAATATGATGAGTGAATCAGTCTCTGATTTGTTTTTTTTTTTTAAATATATTTTTTTCGCTTTCGTATTACGATGGTATTTTTTCGTTTTTTTCTTGATTATATGTTGCATTCATTAAAGTGTAATAAAATTAATATTTATTAGCCAATCGTTAAACGTGCTTATTAATCGAACGGATATTGTGCTCTCCGACCGAGTGTCTTATGCCTATAAATAAATTGACGATTTGGTGTGGAATAAATCTCTCTGTACGTGAATGTGTTGACGAGATACGCATATCTGCAGACATGACGGACGCGCGCGCGCTAGGCAATATATATTGCATTTCAATTTTCATGTGCGAAAGCAATAATTCAGCTGCATAGTTCTTGCTAAGAACATCGCATAGGGATGATTGCGATGAAATGGGTGAAAAAACTGCAAAAAAAATAAATCGTTTATTAACAATGATTCGGAAAAGTTCTTTTATAAGTCAAAAAATGCACTGAAACTCTTGTATGTTTGATGAATAATTCATTTTTCTTCAACAAAAAAATAGATTTACGATACGAAAATTGAACGAAAAAATATTGCGTTGAATATAGAAGAAGAAAAAAGAAAACGCAGAAAACTTTAAGTTTTTTCTTCTTTCATTGATTAAGTCTTCATTATTCGATTTAAATACATTTTATTTGGCTCTTTTGTTGCTAAATTATGCAAATCATCTAATAAAAAATGTAATCGTTCTCACACTGGATAATACGAGAAAAAAAGAAGATATTTGTCACTATGCTCTCAAAATGAGTGATAGTTTTGCGTAAAACCGCAGCCTATCAAGAATTTTCATTGTTACAAATCAAACCGTTTCGCGCAATTCATATGCTAATTTAACGGTAAAATGTGATATTTTATGTGACACGTTAGAGAATATACATGTGTTAGTGTATTGATTCAATTCGTTCTATTTTGGTATACTGTTGAAAATATCTCAGTGTGTCATTTTATCATTTTTGGTAGCGCCGTTTTTTTTTTCTTCTTCGTTCATTCATCTCAGCCATACACACAGTATCTACTAAATTCTGTATGTGATACGTTAGAAATGCGAATAAGTTCACACAAAACGACACTAATTATAAAACCATATGTGGCATTTTTTGCTATCTTTTTTTCTCTTCTTTGAAATAATAAAACATTTGATAGTTTTTGATGTTCATTAGCGTTCATGCGTGTGGATAAATTCAGAAGTTTGCAATTCAAACATCGAGAAAGATTCATTCATATAAATGGAAAACGACGAACCCATCCGCATATCTGGTTGAATGTAAAACGAAACAATTTCTGATTTTCTTCATATCATATGTGAAAAAGTGTACTGACCATTTCCATATACAATGAGCTACAATGTCAACGATCCAATCTTGTATGATTCAAGAAAAATCCGTCGAAAATCCAGTTTTCTAAACGAAATGCCATTTCATATATGACTATAAATTAAAATGGAAAATGTGTGTGTGTGTGTGTGCGCGATAAATATACGATGGAAATAAAAGTTCAATTGAAACTAGAAATGAGCGAGAAAGAAAACACAACAACGCCAAAATAGACGTTTTATGTGTGCGCAATGCACATTGCACATGCTATCAATTAAATCACCACTAGATAAACGGTACTATTTGACATGATATTGCATTATCCGTGAAAAATCAATAAATTAATTCACATGCAAAAAACATTAATTTTACATTCCACCGACAACAAAAAAAATCGTTCAGAAGAAAAACGATGGTTTTTTTTTCACACGATATGGCAAGCATCTCTACTAGAGAAAAAATCTTTAAACGAAGATGTCAATTTTCACCTACCGCAACAAGAACCGCAACGCAAATACTATATGAGAAAAGAAAAACCACTGACCATATTCACGAAAACACATATAGACATTTTTTCCCCCTCTGTTTCATTCGATTCGACAAAGAAATCAACCAAAAAAATGTTAAATTTATAAAAGTAACACAGAGATACAGGTGTGTCACGTGCCACACAATGTCTGGTCACACAAATTGCTCGACACGCCAGAGCAATAAAATAAGAAATACCTGACGATATAAAAAAAATAATGATAAAAGAAAATAATTCCACACACAATCATTCATCGTTCAATGCCATTGCCATTGTCATCGAATCAAAGATAGAGAGAGGGACGGACGATGATAATATAAAAGAAGAAAAATCTCAATTCAACATAGCTTTTTTTCTTTTCTTCATTCGATGAAATGAATCGAGTGCTTTGGTCAATGGATATGATTGCCATTTGCAATACTTTGAATAAGCGCCGAACCAATCATTCGGAAGCAATAACAAACTCGACCAAAAAAAGAAACTTCATACACACATTGAGAACAATACGCATAACACAAAAGAAATGATGAAACTCTTTTCAATAAAACAAATTATAATATAAATGCTACAGAAGAATGCCATTAACCGGGCGCGCGAGAGAGAAAATCAAACAAAGAAATAAGAAAAAAGCGTTAATACACAAATTTATTTGATAGGTGACGATGATGGTGTTGAAAAACTCATTCAATTTTCTAAAGATAATTTTAACAATTTTTTGTTGTTGGAAATTGATTTTTCTGCGCGGACACACACACGTATATACAGGGTGTCTCATATATCAGGCTCACTATGAAGGAGTGAAAATTTCTAAAAACCCTTTGGGGGGTATGTTGGGGGTAAAAAATAGAAAATTTCTATCGGAGCAGAATTTTGAATTTTTCCCCAGGGGGGTTGGGGGTGACCCCAATTTTACAAAACTTCATCTGATCAAAAAATAATGTACTACAAAGTTGTTCAGAATGACAAGAGAAATTTTTTGGGACCCCTGCCCCCCAAAATGTGATTTTTTTTACCTGAAACCCAAAAATTCGGAATCAGCATGAAAAATTACCTTAGAATCGATATTTTTCTCATTCACGTTTTTTCACAAATTTTGGACGAAAAAAGTGTAAATTCGACTCCTCAAATCTTACAAAGTCGATTTTACACTTTTTTCGTCCAAAATTTGTGAAAAAACGTGAATGAGAAAAATATCGATTCTAAGGTAATTTTTCATGCTGATTCCGAATTTTTGGGTTTCAGGTCAAAAAAATCACATCTTGGGGGTTTTTGACCCCCCGACCCCCTTAAGGGGTGGGGGACTTGGAGGGCAGGGGTCCCAAAAAGTTTCTCTCGTCATTCTGAACAACTTTGTAGTACATTATTTTTTGATCAGATGAAGTTTTGTAAAATTGGGGTCACCCCCAACCCCCTGGGGGAAAATTCAAAATTCTGCTCCGATAGAAATTTTCTATTTTTTACCCCCAACATACCCCCCAAAGGGTTTTTAGAAATTTTCACTCCTTCATAGTGAGCCTGATATATGAGACACCCTGTATAAATATATATATCAACAGGAAAAACGATTGGCGAACATTTGAAGAGTTGATCGTGTATTATCAATTACGTGTAAAATATGTGCAAATTGCACTTCGATCTCATAGCGATTGCGCATCACAAAGAATAGAATTGTACTTCATTCGGGAATTATTTCGCTTCTTTTTTTGTTGTTATTGTAATCAATATATTATAGAATTCCAACGAGATTCATATTCATGTTCAGTTCATTCCCATGTGAATGCAATTTTGCGGTATAATTTTCGAATCCGTAAGAACCAGTCGTTGAATTCTTTTTGGTTGCTTCTTGGTTGTGCTGTTGCTCTGCATTCACAATTTGAAAATAATTTCGGGCGCGCACAAGCTAGTTCATTGAGATGAAGTGGTCGAGAGAGAGAGAGAGAGAGAGAGATAGAGAGATCAAGATGAAAATTCAATGTGTGCGCAATACATGTTCTCGTCGATTGGTGTGCGCGATAAGCATTCGAAATATACTAATAATGTGATGTTGGGATTTGGTATAATTGCAATTTAAAACTCGGCTTGTTAAAAACGGAGTGCGCTCGCGCTCAATCGCACAAGCACACATATACACAGTAAACCGCTTCAAATGCATTCGTGATCAGTAATCATGAAGACACGATCACAAGTTTTATTTTTGATTTTAATTATAAGACAAATTCTTTCTCTCTAGTCGCAGTTGCTCGCTCGCATTAGGATCACACATTGTATGCACATTTAATCGTTGCCCATTTTTTGTTTCATTCAACACACACACACACAAAGAGAGAGAGAGAGAGAGAGAGAGAGAGAGAGAGAAATGACAAAAAACATAATTTTCTGTTACATTTTTTTATGTGGCATCTAAAAGACCAAGTCAATACACGAAAAATGTATGTATGTGTGTGTGAGCGAGAAAAAAAACTTTGCTGCATGCATGCGAAATGGAAAAATTTGCGCCGCATAATTTTCTACAGTTTGCATTGAATTACACAAGTTGTGTAACGCAACACACATTGGACATCGGTAAGTGAATGAGTGAGAAAGAGCCCATAAATTGTGAATGCTGTCCGTAAATCGAATGCAAATATATATATATAATTTAAAGCAAAATAAGCCAGCCAAACCAAAATGATTTATGCGAAAATCGATTATTGTGATTGAATTTTGGTTTGCCATTGAGAGAGAGAAATGAATAGAGCAAGAGAGAGAACATTCTTGTATTCAAGACTACATATATAGTCTCGTTAGGTGCCCGATTTCGATTGTTCGGCGGCGATCAGATGTCAGAAATATTGTGGAACGTAAAATAGAACTATTGCGCAAACGTGAATCTTTTATTTGTGAATATTTTATGTTAATTGAATTCAGTAAAAAATGCTATGCTGTTGAGTATGCATGTTTATGAAAGAGAAATAGTGATATCTATTTTTATTTGATATCATATGAAAATACAACAACTATTAGGAGAAAATAGGATTTT